AACTGGCGGAAAATTGCTAGAATTTTAAGAAGAGGCGTGTCTTTTGGGAGTGACAGAGTTTCATTTAGCCTAGAACCCTACTCGGTACTCTACAAAGCGACAAGCGGTTTTCTAAGAAAAGAACTTAGGGGGAAGAATAAAGATCGCGCTTTGCGTTTTTAGAAAATAACTTTTAAGACATACAGCGAGGTGAACTTTCATCGTAGGATTTATGCCCTATATACATGATGCAAGATGAGTGATCGTGTATTTCGCTCAGAGACCTAACGCGTTGTACTCGGTGAGAAAATTAAAGAGAGAGATACTTTTGGCCTTTACTGCTGCTATCCAATAAATCTTGTAATGAAAACTTACGCACAGAAAGTTGCATTAACTTTAAAATCCTTGCTTTTAGATTGATTGTAAATCTACATGTGTATACTTATAGTTTTATGGCTGTTCATGAAGGAATGATATCAGCTTACCTCTTATTACTCCTGTGGTCTGTGTTCTTCTTCTGAGGAAAGCCGTGTTGGAATAGCTGAGGAAACTTCTTTCACTTTCTTTTTAATAATTTGTGGGAGGAGATATGCTTTATTACATGTCCTTTAATTGTCTCTGGAATAGTGATCACAGACGAAACGGGAAATGACTGAGGGGGGTAAGTTTCTAATTAACGAGACTGTGGAGCTGTGTTGTTTGGGGGGCATGAAAAGATAATTTTGTTTTATCAGCTGCCTAACTTAATTTGGCGTTTCCGGTTACGAGTGTTGGAAACAGGCAGGTGAAATCGGACAGTTTGGACTTGAATGAGCTCATCAAGCCACAAATAAGAGCTGTATTACAATTACAATCAAGCGTTTTTTTATTTACACGATTATGTTTTGAATTATTTTGGTTTTATCACCTGAGTTGATAATGTAAATTGACCATCGTAGAGAGTTTCTAAAAATGACTTTTTGTAAAGTTAGCCCTTCGTCCAGGCGAAGGGCTGACATTTGAAACGTCAGCTTTTAGAAGCTCTC